GAAAAGCCTATATCTTATAGATCAATTTAGGATTAGATGGAGGTGTTCAAAATTAATTCTGTCTCCTCCAAAATTTGCCAGTATAATTCACACACACACACCCAGAGAGAGAGAGAGAGAGAGAGAGAGAGAGAGAGAGAGAGCAGTTATTTGTCAAAATAGTGTAATTTATGGTATGAAAGTATGGGTCTAATGCAGTTTCTTTCTTTAAGATTAAAATCATAAAGGATACTTGGAGGCACACAGGATAGGAATACAGATTTCCCATTTATGATTCAATAGGATTGAACTCACTTTATTCCCTATACTGCTTATGAGTAATGTGTACCTATATAGAACTCCACAGCAGTGATACCCAGGGCAGGGACTACAAAGGAGAGGAAAGTGTGAAATCGCAGTTATTTCAAAAGTTCTTCTGATAGACATGAGCTCCATCTGTAGATTTTTCTCTAGACTAATTATTTCAGGGAGAAAACAATGAGAAAATAAAATGGATTCTGGCACTCCAAATGATTGTGTGTGTATGTGTGTGTGTGTGTGTGTGTGTGTGTGTGTGTGTGTGTGTGTTTAATGTGATGTCTTGACCACATTTTCGACTCCCAGTTGTTTCCTGCCTTCCCCATCTTGCTCATTTCCGGGTTACTGCATGTCACAGCTGAATGGGGCAACTGGGACTCTGTTCTGGGACTTCCCCAGACACCTGGGCAAGAGACACAAGGATGCTATGCTATTTTTGTATGAACACAGGGCTCCCTGAAACAGAGAAGAAGTATTTTCATGCATTTTTATAATTCTTTCGATTTCTACCAAAGACAAAATAGGAAGAGCCAAAAAAAAAAAAAAAAGGAAAAATAAAACCTGAAAAAGTTTTGAAAATATCAATCAAGAGCACTTTGACTGAGAGATAGGGTTGAGACAATCAAAAGAAAGTCCAAAAAGCCCTAGATCCAAGTTGATACTCTCAAAAGAGTGGGAAAGGGTTAGAGAGGAGAATGACACGTGATACAGGGCAAAGGAGGCAAGGTCCATGTGACTGGCAAGAATCCTTAAGAAACAGCTGTTGACCTGAAGCAAACCCAGCTTCCAATGTGGAATTCCAGTTCAATATAGAATAGAAGAGTAAAATAATCCTAAATAAAAATACATGTTGTAGTCAAGAAGGTGGCACACACCTATAATCCCAGGAACTCAGGAGGGCAAGGCAGGATCACAAGTTCAAAGCCAGCCTCAGCAACTTAGCAAGGCCCTAAGCAGCTTAACAAGACCCTGTCACACACACACACACACACACAAAAAAAAAAAAAAAAAAAAAAAAACAGGTTGAGGATGTGGCTTAGTAGTTAAGCACACCTGGGTTCAATCCCCCATATCAAAATAAGGGTGGGGGCCATACTCTAATATTTTAAAGTATTAAAAAAATCAGTATTCATTGAAAAAATAAAGTATTCATTTAAAAAAATAAACATGAATGTTTTGGTGGGCATAAATAACTAAGTATAACAAGGTATCAAGGTAAAATAGTAAATATTGTAAACTAAAAACTTAAGAAAGAATAAGAACAAGAAGCAGCACTATTTGAGTCTTTTCTATGAGAGGGAATTCAAATATAGCATCTCCTTTAATATTCATGAACTTCATGAGACTGGTATTATTATTCCCACCTTATAGATTACAAGGCCATGATTCAGGAAGATTCATAACATACCTGAAGTCACAAAGACATTTGTGTTCTTGCAAGATTTAGTAGTTGTTCTACAAAAAGAGTGCCATTATGAATAATCTTCTAGGGATTAGACTTTGAGGGTCATGCAGATAAATCTTTTAATTCTTATTTAACCCAGAAGTCTTCAAGAAGATGTGTGCTATTACCAACTTTGTAAGCACAGGAAGGTTCCACAGAACACAGATTGGAAAAGACAGCAAATGGCTATAATTACTTAGAGCTAAGTCACTAAGACTAAATTTAATAGCTATAAATTTAAATCTGGCATGGATATTTTAAAAGTGCCATTATGCAAGAACAAAGCTCAGGCCAAGTGTGCCTTTTAAAGTGCTCTAGAGGAAGACTCTTATGAGTCAAAAAATGGTGACAAAGCTGAAAGTTAATGAAATCTTAGGCTACACTCAGAGAGGTGCACTGCCTGCAACAAGGGAGGTTAAGATGTACATCAAAGTGTTAAATTGGTACATTAAAGGAGGTCCAGACATTAGCAATGAAGTTGACAAGTTGACACATCCTGGTTCTTTGTCATATGACATTACTAGAGAACTTGGGAAACTTGGGAACATTTTAATTGGTGTAAATATATGGCTAGCAGTTTAAGTTTGCTTTGATATAGTAGTGATGTGTCCTCCAAAAGCTCATGTGTGAGACAATGCAAGAAAGTTTAGAGATGAAATGATTGGGTTATGAGAGCTGTAACCTAATCCCCTGATAGGAATTAACTGGGTGATAAATGTAGGTAGGTAGGGCATGGCCAGAGGATGTGGTTTTGCTGAGATCTCTGAAACTGTGAGCCCCCAAACAAACTTTTCCTCCTCTAATTGTTCTTGTCAGGTCTTTTGTTCAAAATGTTGAAAAGCTGATTAAAACAACTTAGTTGGTGTTTTCCTGGAGTACTAGATTATGGCTAAAAAATTATAATTCTAAAAAAAGAGGTTTAGATTTTCCATAAATAAAATGTTTCAACAAAATTTTCAGAAGAAAATGGGCTGATGAAAAATTAGTCTTTTTAGATCATGTCCTAGAAGTTGCCAAGAACAGAGGCAATTTTAATGACCTCATTTAATAGGAGTTGACTCTGTAAATTGATTAATGAGAAAGGGAGTCTCAAAAAAGTTTCATCTCAGCAAAAGAAACAATCTGTGAGGCGAACAGAGAGCCTACATCCTGGGAGCAAATTTTTATCCCACACACAACAGATAAAGCACTAATCTCTAGGGTATATAAAGAACTCAAAAAGCTAAGCACCAGAAAAATAAATAGCCCAATCAAAAAATGGGCCAAGGACCTGAACAGATACTTCTCAGAAGAGGACATACAATCAATCAACAAATATATGAAAAAATGCTTATCATCTCTAGCAATCATGGAAATGCAAATCAAAACCACTCTAAGATATCATCTCACTCCAGTCAGAATGGTAGCTGTTATGAAGACAAACAACAATAAGTTTGGCAAGGATGTGGGGAAAAAGGTACACTCATACACTGCTGGTGGGACTGCAAATTGGTGCAGCCAAATTGGAAATCAGTATGGAGATTCCTTGGAAATATGGGAATGGAACCACCATTTGACCCAGCTATCCCTCTCCTCAGACTATACCCAAAGTTCTTAAAAGCAGCATACTACAGGGACACAGCCACATCAACGTTTATAGCAGCACAATTCACAATAGCAAAACTGTGGAGCCAAACTAGAGGCCCTTCA